AGTTCCCCAAATAGGCCGGTGTCAATACTCAAGGGAGACACCAGTCACATCGACGCGGTCGCATTAATTTTCTGACTGCTGATAGAAACTGTGGTGAAGTCACTAATCAAATTTTGTACGAGGATCGATGGCTACACATTTGGGACGCCAATTACTGGTGGAAAATGAGGCCATGGGACCTGCGGCTTTATAAGAAGACGGAAGGCGATCTAAACGGGATCGGCGATCTGATCCAACTGTCGTCAGACTGATGGGTATGGAACGATCTGAGACGGGGTGATCTGGGACAAGACGACAGTTAGAACGATTTCCATGGAGCGATCTGGGACAAATATCTGAGATCAGGTGATGTGATGTGATGTGACTCTGTGACGAAGGTGTAACATCCTGCAGATCGGTGACCTTCTCTACCGGTCTCCCAAAGGGAGTACTGATTTAGGTTAATTATGCACCGATCTGGAAGCGGGGATGTTTGTGGGAGTCCGTGGGACCGTTGTGAGAACTATGGACGGTCCTATTAAGCAGATAAACCCTTGAAGATGGTATCGGAGTACGCTCAATGGACGGAAGAACACATATGACCGGATCGCACGGTGTCGATCCTCAACGATCTCGAATTGGGCATCAGATCGGCCATGTTCCCTACTGATTATGGATATATCGCTACTGAGACTTTCGGATCATGACAGACATGCTTGTTGAAGGTCCGTGAGTGATGTCCCACAATTTTAGACCGAAAGAGCCAGTGGAAGCCGGTTGAACTGACATCGCAAATGGATTTAGACACGTTCCACATCTTGGATACTATTTTGGACTTTTCGGTACCAAAATTGGGTATTTGGTATCATATTTGGAATTTGGTCCTTTTTTGGTGTCTAGGTGCGATATCGGGAGTATTGGCGCTATCTTTGGAGTACAGGTCACGAAACTTCGATCGTGTTCAAGGGGGCGGTCAAGCTTATAGGTGATATCGACTTGGGCAGTGACCTACGGTTGGAAATCGGCTTAATGATAGGTCGGATATTAATTTGGTTGGTTAATAAACAGACTTGAACTCTACTTCTTCTGCTCACGACGCACGTTCCCCTCCCCTCTTCTCCGGGCAAGATTGATTTGGCTTCCCCGGCGGGTCAAGGCACGCGTGTTACAGGGACACAGAAGACCGATCTTGGATTGTTGGCCAAGATCGAGAAGAGCGATCTCGGGATATTTGGCCCGGATCGATCAAGTACTCACACTCAACTCAACTGCTAGGGTAGCAGCAACATCAAGGAAAAGGAAAAGGATTTTGGACACAAGATCGCGAGACGGCGCAAGTGGTCAGAAGATCTGGACAAGGCGTTCAAGACAAGATCGAGCAAGACCGAAGCGATCTACAGGGCAGATCGGCACGTTTCATTTTGGCGAAACAAGCAACCGATCCATCCACATTGCGCACTTCTGGCAAGATCGGCCGATCCCAAGACCAGATCGGACCGATCCCAACGCAAGATCGACGCAAGACTACTATTTGCTGAGTGAAGATTTCCGCACAGCAAAGACCCCGATCCCGAAGACAAATCGAGATCGGTGTGATTCAAGATCGAGATCGCGACATCGCCAATAGAGATCGCCGCGACTCAAGATCAGGATCGCAGAAGCCCCGTTCGTGGTGTGAAGATTTCCGCACCGGAAGCGAACGCTCAACCCAACCTCTCAGCGAGATCGATATCTCCCAAGGCCATTACGAAGAGCTCAAGCCATCCCAACCGACGGGTACACAAGGTGAGCACAAGGCTATACAGCAAGGTACGGATCGGAGTACCCCCTCCGTGAGTCGGCAAGTCTGGGCAAGTGGAATATCGACACTCACTCAAGCGATTTTGTGAGATCGACTTCACCACACTACCCTAGCAGTTTGAGCTGAGTTGAGTTACCTCAACCCCACCTTGGCCAAACAATCCAGGGTGGGTACACGAAACACGGCGCGGTGACGTCTCTTGATCGACCGGAGGCCAAATATTCTGCCCGGAAGAGAAGTCTGCGACGTTATTTATTTGTATAAAACGGTAACTGTTTTATTTTCCAAGCAATTATTAGCCAACCTATCTTGAAGCCTACTTCCAACTATACGTCACTCTCCAAGTCGATATCACCTTTAAGCGTGACCGCCCCCTTGAACACGTGTCGAAATTTCGTGACCTGTACTCCAAAGATAGCGCCAATATTCTCGATATCGTACCTAGACACCAAACGAGACCAAATCCCAAATACGGTACAAAATACCCAATTTTGGTACCAAAAGGTCCAAAATAGTATCCAAAATGTGGAATGTGTCTAAATCCATTTGCGATGTCAGTTCAACCGGCTTCCACTGGCTCTTTCGGTCTGAACTTTTGGTACATCACTCATGGATCTTCAACAAGCACATTCATCATGATCCAATGGCTCCATCAACGACACATCCATATTTTATAGAGAACAAGACCGATCTGATGCCCAATTCAAGATAATTGAGGATCGACACAGTACAATTCAACAGTAGACATTTCCCGTTCATCGTGTGTGCTTAAATACCATCCTTCAAGGTTTATCTGATCAGTGGGACCATCCACGCGTCTTGAAATAGCTCCCTGGACTCTCATAAGTGTTCGCACTTCCAGATCGGGCTGTAATTAACCAAAATCAGTATTCCCATTGTGGGACTGGTAAAGAGTATCATCGATCTGCAAGATGTTGCACCTTGGTTACAGGATCACATCGCATCATCTGGTACCATGTGCACCTTTCCCAGAGTAATTCTGCCACAGTACTCAGTCTTCGCCTGCTTCAACACACACATTCTTGTCCTTGAACAACCTTCAAGCGGATCGCTTGATTATATCCCTTCCTTTGTCCCAGATCGCCCCATAGAAATCATCTATACCTGCGACTCGTCCCAGATTGTTCCATGGAAATCATCCCTTTCTACGCCTCGTTTCAGATCGTTCCATGTCCATATTTCTGTCGATAGTTGGATCGGATCGTTGAGTCTCGTTGGGATCGCCTTCCATCTCCCATTGGATCGTTAGATCATCCGGTGTCGTTTTCTGCCAGTTAGTGACGTCTTAACTGGGTGGTCACCGATCCGCATCCCAAAATTGATTAGCGACTTTATCACACGTCCATCAGTCTTACTTCGCCGAGTCCAACTTCGCCAAACTAACTTTGCAGGTCAGTGAAGGCTAAAATTGGCGACCTCAATTTCGCTGGCTGGCATTCGCCGGGGTCACATTTGCCGACCCATACTCCTGCGGCCCAAACCAGCTAGGACATATTCGCCGGGCAGATTTTACTGGGGTTCCTTTTGTCGGCTACGATATCGTGCGTTGTTATCAGATAAAAGGTGTGCATCAACTATCGTGTCTCCGCGAGTTGTTCAGCTTCCCCGGCGCAAGAGTGCAGGGGGGGTATCGAGGCACTTGCCTACCCTGTTGTCAGTAAAAGCATATTATACTGTCTGTAGTATCAGCGCAGTGTCTGTTACAGCCTATTTCTTCGCGTACGCAGCGAATTTTGTCCTCATTTCCTGCTCGTTGGTCTATTCCAGGCTGTTCAGGCTCTCTTTCTGCGTATACTTGCTTGCGAATCGTCGCCATGTTGCATATCGGCCGTTGCTGTTGCCGACGCTTCACGTGAAAAGGATCACGCAAGGTAGATGGTAGCCACATATATTGGTGTAGTGAACCGATGACGATGCCAGGTTCATGGGAAGACCCAAGATCATGAGAGGGAAAACAATGCGTGCCAGTGGTAGTAGTTAACACATTGACCAGTTCACGATTGTCAGCAAAGTGCGCAAGTACTGGAGCAAAGAGTCGACGGCTGAGTTGGAGAACTCCGGCGCAAACAAAGATAGCGGGCGCGTCGTCAACCAAAGGAAAGTCCAGTACGACGTCGCTGAGCTCCCCGCAGCTCAGCTAACCTTCGCATTAGCACGCGTTCTTTCTGAGAGTCCCACTTCAGCCAGAGACCCCGCTTGAGGGACTGTCGGTCAAATGAATTTCGGTACATGATAATCGCATCGAAATAAATCACATAAATCCTTCTGCCAACTGCGTCTAAATACTAACGTGCACTGTATCTCGCAGCAGCTCACTGCTCTACGCGAGTCTGTCCTCCATCGGTAAAAATAGATTGATATCCTGACCGATATCGACTTTTACATAGACTATCATCATTCGTTCCCTGAATGATATGACCCACATTGACAACATCCACGGCACTTTTTGAATGTTACTTCTCAGGGAGTATTCACATTCACCTTCTTCTATTGCCAATGTCATGGAACGGCGGCCCCGTTACAATGCCGTCCTCGCTGCCACTTGACACGTACAGGCGAGGGACCGTTTAGGCTTTCCATCGTCTCTTTTCCGTGCACCTGTGCTTCTCTGCTTGCGTTTATGTACCCTGTAATAAAATGAACGGCGTCTGCGATCAAAGCGCTGTCGCACAGGTCGGGTATCAATGTTCCATCTACCACTCGATAGGTACGAACTGATCGCAACAAACGCAGCCAAAGCGAGTGAGCTACTGCTCAGTAACTGCGTCAAGCAGCGTCGTTCGTTTTTCTGGCCTGCAACAAAAAGTGCTCCTGCAACTGATAACGGCCACTAACTCATCGTCAATATCATCAGCAGCAGCGTTGTCGTCATCCTCGTCCTCATCCTCCTCCCCTTAGTATGCGCGTTTTGTGTGTGTGTGCGTGTGTGCAGTTCGTGCAAAGCGTTTCAAACCGTGGACAAGAAGGAGGCGAGTGGATCCCATTCGACTCGCTCAGCCCGTCCCTCTCTTTCTCTCTTCAGTCGAGCGCTGCTGCCGGCCGTGTCGTCGTCCACTTGCACAGACCACTTGAACTGGCACTCTGACTTCCCTGCCGTCTTCCAATCGTCCAATTCAACGCACGTATCCTCCTCTTCAGTCCGTCCTCCAGTCCGTCCTCCCGTCCGTCCTCTTGACCGACTCGACCGCGAACGTGTCCCATGTGGTGGTGGACGTGGGCCAGTCGCTGCCCCTGTTGCTCGTGCCCCTTGTCCGACGTGGCGCGTCCGAGTCGCACGGACCACGAGCTCCACGCGCTGCCAACGCCCTCGACGCCGTCGGTCGCCCACGCCGCAGCTCCCCGTCCCGGTCTCTACACGGCCCGCCACCCCCTGACGCAGGAGCTCGTGGCGCTCCAAGTGCTCGACCGCCACGTTCTGCGCGACCGCCCGACGCGGCGGCGACTGCGTCAAGAAGTGCGAGTGCTGCGGCTGGCGAACGGCCACGAGCATCTGCTGCAGCTGCACGACGTGCGCGTCGCGCACACGCGCGTCGAACTGACGTTTGAGCTCGCGCGGGGCGGCCACGTGCTGCCAAAGGTGCGGTCCGAGCGAGACGCGAGTCGCGTCGTGCAGCACGCGGCAGAGGGACTGCTGTTCCTGCACGGCCGCGGCATTGTCCACGGACAGGTGAGGCCCGAGTACCTGTTGTACAGCGAAGACGCGCCGGACGCGCGCGTGCTGCTCGTGGCGTTCGGCCGCGCCGCGCCGTGGAAAAAGACGTATCGGTCCACGACGGACAAGTGGCTCTGGGACGACGTGCACCACGTGCACTTTGTGCCGCCGTTTCTGCTGCGGCGGCGGCAGACAATCGCTCGGGACGGACTGGAGCGTCGACGACGATGGACGAGAAGGAGAAGGCGACGGGTCGTGACCTCCTGGCGAGAAGCGCAGCAGATTGATACGTGGGCACTGGGCGTCACGCTCTATGTGATGCTGTGCGGGTGTTACCCGTTCAGCGACGGCAAAGACCGCAGTGACAGTGTCGCGGACATTGAGCGCCGCGTGCTGCAGGACGAGTTGACCATTCGAGAGCACGGTGCGGTCCTGAGCCGCGCGGCGAAAGATCTGCTGCGTCGACTGCTGGAGAAGGATCCGGAGGCGGCTATGAGTATCAAAGACGTGGCTGCTCATCCGTGGCTGGAGGAGGCAGTGGCGCCGGGAGCCACTTGGAGCGCCGAGAAGCTCGCGCAGCACCAGTTGTTCACCGCGAGGTATGCTGAAGAGCTCTTGGCCATTGCACACCGCTCGTCGGGATCGACTGCTTCGACGTCGAACGTCATGATGGACACCACACGGAGTGATGTGGAACATGCAGCTACGGCTGAGGCTGGTGGACTGACTGTAAAGGACAAAGCCCGACGGTGTCCAGGAGTCGGCGGCAGTGCTTTTGATTACGACACGCTGGAAATGGATACGAACGAAGAAGAAGAGGAAGAGGAAAAAGACGAAGCCCGACCGTCGTTTATATCCACACATGGCACGCAGCTCTTGACGAACGAAGAAGTACGACACGAGCGCCCCAGTGCCGATAGTTTCATGCGCCTCGCTAGCCTCGAAATGGGGGCAAACAACATGGACGCGGACCTCGGCGATGAAGACGCTGTCGCTGACCAGGCGATCAGCAGTTCCCCGGATGCCGAGTCCGCAAGTGTTTCATCCGCAGACATCAGTACGACCGGTGGTAGCAGTCGCCGGAATTCGATCGACAAGATGCTGCTAGCGCTGCTGGGCCAGCGACGTTTCTTCTCTTTCAAATCGCAAAGCAGCGGCTCCAGCAACGACAGGAGCTGACCCCACGTATTTGCGAGCGGTTGACAGTACGCGACGTCTTCAAGCAGAGCATTTTTGCAGCACACGAAAGCGCTCGAAGAAGTTTGACGAGTAAAGCTTGTCTTCCTCGCTAGACATCCTTTGACACCAGGAGGTGCGATAGCTGGGTTCAAGAATCGTGTCGGGGCGTCCAGAGTTGCGTCACCGCTCTTTGGCGACAGCAGTGTCCTTTCCTGCTATGCAATTTTGCTTCCGGCGGCATGGCAGGTAGAGCTTGGACTGCCAGATCTGAGTTCGTCTTGTTGCTTGGTTCGCAAAGGGTTGTGGTCGTCCGCATGTTTCGCTTCGTGTGCTGTTCCACAATCGACTTTGGTGTTGCCATTCCCTTGATCTGCTCATGCTTCTTGTCCCAGCGCCAAGTAAACTCTCCTTGCTTCATGATCGCGTGATCTGCATGGCGAAGAAATAGCTCGGTGCGAACAAGTCGATTCGTGACATCACCCGGACCCTAGGACCAAAGCATTTCTGCAACAACAACGTGCCGAGACGGCACGTGCAACGACATCGATGCCATGCACAAGACCATGATCACTTGCCGGACCAATTTCGTTGCGCCCTTCTTGCTACAACTGCTTGCAGCGCAACACGTTCGTCAAGCCACTAGTAAACTCGAGAAGGTGTCGATGTCGAGCCAGCGGACGGCCCGCGAGGCGGTGCTAGCGCACGCTGGCGCATGGCGATTATGCAGTCGTTCAGCTTGACCAGAGCCCGTTTCTCGAGACCGTCATGATCAGCTCGTAGCTCTGTGACGTGATGGATGTGGGTCTGTAGATCCATCTCGAGTGCACGACGAAGGTCGTCAACAATGAAGTTGTCCTCCCCACCCACGGCGCTCAACACGTTGTAGAAGTAGCCCAAATCGGCAGCCAATTGCTTCGCACCTATCTCCGACAAACATGGGATGGAGCACACCGTACGCAGCAATGCTGCTAGTGTGCTGCTGGCCACTGTTGCCGACCACAAATCCACAAACTTTGCCGCCGTTGGCACGGGGTCGGAAGCAGCGGTCGTGCCCCCCGAGCCAAAGATTTGCTGGCAATTCAACAGTTCAGGGGGAGCTAGGTGCAAAACTTGACCCAGGCGATCCCACTCGCCCTGAACGCACACCTCTTGTGCGCCACGTGAGGCTACAAACGCGTTCTCGAGACTGTTGCTGCCAGCAAACGGCTCCAATTGCGGAAGGAGTGACAGCAAGAGGTCCGCGACGGTCGTGATATAGTCTTGCGGGAGCATGCTAAAGGTCGGGAATTCTAGCTCATCCTGAGCCGAGTTCGGTGCCTTGTTCCAACTCTACAACAGCAAAGGGTGTATCATTAGCTCGTGCATTTAGGAAACAAATGACTGCATCGGTGCCAAACCTCGTTCGTAGGGATCGTGTCCAGTACACGCGCGATGGGCAGGAATATAGTGTCGTACGTGAGAAGCTGCGCCTCCTTCGTCCATGAACGCATGGCACGCTGGGCTTCATCGAGTACCTATGATTACATGTGCTTTAGTATGACACTTCAGCAGGCGGACACGATAACCAAACTTACCGTTGCAGTCGGATAGCAAGCGGCAGTAGAACCAGACCATGTTGGATGGCTCACCATATCGGCAACGAACTGATGAAATTGAGATTGTCGCGTCGGGTCTTCGTCACGAAGCCACATCGTGGACACTGCGAGTACAAGCTTTGTCGGGTACAAGAGCTCCGCTAGCGCGATACTTGAAGCATTGCAAACATTGCCGCAAGTGCTACGCGGCGACAAAGCATCTACATGCTCGCTAGAAAGTTGGGCAAGTTGCTCGCGCATGCGAACGCGTAGCCGACCGTCCATCGCACACAGTTGGGTTTCTAGGGTGCCACAGGCCTTCAGAAGGGCCAACGATGCGTGAAACTGACTCCAATCGGGTGAAGCAGCCAGTCGCTCTTTGCTCTCATCTACCTGAAAAACAGGTTCAACCTTGTAGTAATTGCGGATCGCCGGCATTTTCGCGCCCAGGGCCAATGTAAACTGCTGCACTGCCGTACCTATGGCTTCCACAGCTTCCGGGAACGCCACGCCACCCGTAAACTCGTAGCATTGCTGAACACTGCGATCCACAATCGTCCAAACTGCTTCAGATGCTTCCTCAAGGCGTTGCGAAAAGTCTTCGAATGACGTAGCAGCAGTGGCGTCTCGATCTTCGTCGCTACCCAGCACTTCATTGCTTGTCGTGTTGAACGGAGGCACAAGACGCATCAGCGCGTCGGTAAGAAAGTCGCTCGAGAAGCGCGTGTATTCCGTAAAATACAGTTGATACGGCTCGAAAACGACGCGCAGGATACCACCTTCTGCATCTACAGCTGTGCTGTCGCCGTCCGTCAACTTCACGCCAAGTTCGTTTTCCAAAGACCGCACGAGTTGCACGAATTGACCAGCAAATCGTCGCGTCGTATGGAAGCAGCGCACGAGTCGGTCGAGACAAAACGACTCGGAGCTTGCCGGTTCAGTCTGCCCCAGACGATCTCGAAACGATGCAGTGAGCGGCTCCAAAGTGTTGCGAAGCAGCGTGAGCAGCACACGGATCACCAGCTCGTCACCACCGAAAAGGTCGCGAGCGTTGCGACTCTCCCGTTGCAGCATCTGCAGCACGTGTTCATAAAAACCGTCGAGCCAACGGGCAAAGTCGACGTGTCGGTTGTTGTTGCCGTCGTCTGCCACGTCCAGCCCCGCAATCTGCTTCGCCTGCTCCTCGTACTGGTACCACGTACGGTGCACACGCGCCGGCCGCGCGAGACAGAACTCCTCTTTCATCACATGCGCTCGATCGATACTGCCGAGCGCCTCGAGGCACCAGCGGAGACGCGTGACGTCGCCCGCCTCGTCCTGTCGAAGCTTCGAGGCCACTCTCGGCAGCACTGCCGCCTCAATCTGCGCCGCTAGCCGCTCCATTGTCTTCTGCCGCTCTCGCACGCCGGGCAGGTCCTGGAGCACGTCCAGACTCGCGCGCAGCTGCCGCACGCGATCGCCCAACGTCTCTGCGTCGGCCGTTGACTCGCCATCGCCCTCAAGCGACAACAGCGTCGGGTCCTCCAGCACCGCAAAGCAGTCGCGGACAGAGCGCGTCCATTGCGCCGCCTCCACGAGCGCGCGCGAACAGCTCTCGAGTCGCCGCTTTGTCTCGTGTAGCGTCACGAGCAGACGGCGCGCGTCAGAGTGTCGAGTGGACGACAGCGACGTGTCGCAGACGTGTTGCGCGGCAGTGAGACGCGCGGCGAGCGGCGCAGCGGTCGTTTCGAGCGCCTCGAGACGCGTCTGCAGGGCCGGGACCGAGTGCGTCACGTGCTGCAGCGCCGTCTGCAGCGTGTGCGCCAGCGCCTGCGAGCGGAGCGCGAGTTGCGGCGCGAGGGAGCGAGACAGACTGGTGGACGACGGCGGGGCGAGCGCCGCTTCGAGCCACGCGAAGGCGTCGAAGGTGGACGACGACGACGCGGCGGACGCCAGCAACTGCGGGAGGCTCGAGTCGGCCATGGCGAATATATCAAAAGGGCGACACGGTGGTATTGCAATATGGTGGATACAATCTTACAATCACATACAATTATACTCCGAACAGCTGTATGCATTGCAATTACAATAATAGCAGTTTATACAATGAAGCAATACAACCAGTAATAACAATAATACCAAAGATAACAATAATAGTAAAGAGAACGAGAATACCAACAACAATGATGATAACAATGATAGCAATGATAACCGTGATTTTAATAATGCTATAATTACGATCGTGACAATAGTAATGTACAATAACAGTGGGTACAATAGTTGCAAGATTAGCAATCGCACACATAATAATATTAGTATTTATTATAATAGTACGTATGTATAATGATACCATTAATCTTGAAAGCGCAACATGTTATACTTATATGTTTATAAGGATGGGCAGGCTAGGGACGACATTGACTGGGTTGCCTATATCCCAATGAGAGAGAGAGGCGATTGAGGTCTGTCGTAAAGTCGGACGCTTGAGATTCGATTTGGCGTGTGATGGCAGCGATTACCTAGTGGGGCATTTTACCAGGACAAAGTAACGAGATCGAAGGAGCGTGACAAAGTAACGAGATCGAACGAGCGGTCCAAAGCATTATACACACAACTACATTCACGTCGATATGCTGTGCGCAATGAAAGCTGCATTGCATGCTCGCGATGGACCAATACATCGTTCGGCGATACTGCACATCGTTCTGCTATGGCGCATCGAACATGAATGAAAGTGCGTCGCTGGCCGTGCGTTCAGGGGCAACACAGGTTGTCTACCTTAGCTCGCAGACCATTCTTCTCAGCCGCGTATGTAATGAACGGCACGTTGGTCTGCGTCACGTTCTAAAGCAAGCTGTACTTAAGCGGAAGATGGGCAAAGAGCGCAGCGCGAGATAAATGGGAATAGCGTACAAAAGAATGTGCGAATGATCTGTGTCACCAAGGCGGTTCTCGCGCTGCATCGGCATACTGAGCCACAGCTCTCGATGGGGCAGCTCGATATCTGTACCCAAACGAATTGATAGCTCGGCACACTGGTCGTTTCGAAATACGACTAGCACTACTTCTTCGACCTCACAGGCTCGTCACGTATGCAATGAGTGCTTCCAGTCCTACAGTGACAGGTGAAGATTGTCTACACCTCTGCATATTGTATCGACACCACCTTGGTGACGCAGACACTAACCACGCAAAGTCGCTCGCCAAGACGCGGTCAGGGAAGTCTGCAGACGTGCCGCCTCTTTTACATCGAGAGCTGCAGTAGCCTATAATGACGACGGTAGTGTCACCGTTGATGTTCGGCGGGTGCTTGATGATCGGCTGCGCGCCGGGATGCGTGCTGAAGTTGCGGCGTCGGGGCGATTTGATCACCGATGACTTGTCCACGCCACGCTCAAGGATACGCCGTGGCTGCGAGATCGACGGGGTACGGCTTACACATTGAACAGAGCCGCCTTTACCCTGGGTTTAAATTACCTTGGCGAGGCAATGTCTTGGACGACTTTGCAGACTGGCATTGTCTTGTTCTCTCCCACGCGTGACATGGCGACCCACTCTATGGCGAAGAGACGGCATTTCGGGTCCTTCTGCCTCGCATTCTTTACAATTTCATGTCTGTGATATATCGGGCGCTGGAACCTGGGTCCCTAATTTCGTACTCAACGAAGGTGCACCAATTCCATGACTAAATTCTCACTAGTGAAGGTACATCTCTCCTGTATTTCGATACGGGTATGGAATATGGGTTTCAACCCGTCTCATCGATGACGGCGTGCGATATCGCCGCGTCCTCATCCAGTGGGACTCCTGTCCACTTTGGCGCGCATCCGATGCCTACGCGGGTTTTCCACCTGTCGGCCGGTCGTCGACGGTTGCGGCCACATTGAAAGAAACTTAAACAGCTTATCTCCCGGCGGCGATATATGGAAGGAACTAGACTTCTCGAGGAACGGGTTGAAAAGGCGGACTTTCAAGTGATATCGGAAGGCTCACCATTGATCACGTGGAGAAACATTCGACGAATTCGTGCGTCCTTTCCGACCAACGCTCAGACGATATATCGGCTAAAGAGTAACAGTTTCCCGCTCTGGAATTGGGCGAAGCAAGATATGTCGTGCCCCGTCCCTTATTGTGTGGATGCTGGTTCAGATCTGGCAAGACATATCTTTTGGACATGCCCTAGCGCGCGTCGACACTGGAAATACCTCCTTGGTCGGTGGAGATGGCTTGGTACTTTCCAGGAGGAGGACTTGCATGTCTGGGTGTTTGGACTATACCTCCCGGGGATTATGCCCAACGCCTGGGTTGTTGTCAAACAATCTATGACCACAGGAGAAGGTTTATTGAAATCTCAGGCTACGGTCTTTCCGGCAGCTCGAGAGCTGTGGCGTTTGTCGTATCAACGACACTTCATTCCATCTGGGTCGAGCGCCTCCGCCGCATGGAAGGCCCGTCTCTATCACAGGATGTTCACACAGCTAGGGCCAAGACAATCTTTCGCCGGTCGGTTGGAAGGTTTCGTGGATCAACCTATCAGCCCAACATGGGGGAGGAAGGGCAACTGTTTGCGCAGGTACGGTCGGACTTGGCTGATACCCTCCTCTGCTACGACGAACCTCCTTTGCTGCACGTACGCCCTATCAAACGGTTCCCAGGAGTGCTCTACCTCCTCTTTTTCGATGGAGGATCCCGCGGAAATCCAGGTATAGGCGGAGCTGGATCTGTTATAGTCCAACTCCACGTTCCGACGCACGCCGCATGCGTTTTGTGGGTAGCGAGCGTGGCCTATGCCGCTGCCGATACTACTAACAATATCGATGGATACTGGGGGCTCTTCCACGGTCTTCGGCGAGCAAAGGCCAGCGACTACTTACCCCTTCATGTCATTGGGGACAGTGCCCTTGTGCTTGCGCAACTCCGAACACGACATCCTCCACGCAAGCAACGCTTGGTGCAGTTATTCACCGAAGCAAGCGCCATCGCTGTAACGGTGCACCGACGACTACGTACTGGTCAACCAGTACGTAATTTACTATCACTGACTGAAGTGATAGTCAGTGCCCAGCTAGGTGTAGAACTACACAGAGGAAGATAGAACGACAAAGGTGAAAGACTCTAGTCGTAGGAAAAGTTAAACTGTTATTAATATAATTAAGTCCTATAACTCTTGTATCTCTGTTTGTCCTGACTTAATTATACTAACGTAACTAAATGTATGGTGACGTCTACTCACCACCCATTGCGCGCGTCAAGCAGCGATTGGTGGGTTGATATCATCGCGATATCAACCAATGAGTAGACTCTTCGGTCATCCCAACAATATCACCATGCTTGTGATACTGTTGAAAGAATATTCAACGTAATATTCTCTATTGTCATTTTCTTCGTAATGAAAATATCATATAACGGGCTACCCCGTTACATCACCCCTTCTGTGACTATCGAAACATTATGGCCACTTGTTGGATACTAACGGGACGAGGAGTGCTTGTTGATCAGATTCGTTCATTCTGACTTTGCTTCGCATAGTTAACATGTCTATGCGGAGTGACCCAAAGACACATCCTGTTGCTGCGCCCGCCTCTGCTGCAGACGAATCGTCTTCTGCTGCTCGTTCTTATCCTGCATCGGGTGTTGCTGCAGGCGAATGTGGTATCGCACCTCATGCACACAGTGACCCCGAGTTAGGGGTCAGCTACTCTGGCGAGTCAGATGAGTCTGACTCGGAAAAGCCTTTAGAGGCATCGCGTTCACCTGCAGTACCTCGTCCATCAAGAGACGTGCCTAACGTACGGACTCGCGACATGCGTCACAGTCTGTTCGGCAGTGATGATGAATTTGGTGATGAGATGGGCTACTCATCACCACGATTAACTCGTGCACCTTCGCACGAGCTATTTGACGATGGTGCGAGCCGTCTCCATACTGATAACCGTGGTACCGGCAAAGGTATCACTTCGAAGCGTGATGAGCTGAAGCCGTGGCGTTTGCCTGAACAGCTCATCAATAGCTTGTCTCACGAGACAAGTCAACACCATCGAATACCTTTATTCGATGCGAGTGAGCTTCACGGCTTTAGTTCCAGCGCGAAGAACTTTCGCGCTGAAGAAGACTTTTATCTCGATGCTTTCTTGAAGCATCGATGGTACAATGGCAACCAAAATCGTGACAAGGCCTCGCTTTTGGCGGCGTGGAACGCGTTCGTCCAAAATGTCAATAATTTTGGACGAGAAGGGTGGCTTCAAAAACTTGAAGCGGTACGCATCAAGTTTGAAAAGCGAATGTCAATCGATGCAAGGTACCGGCTGCATCGTTTGTCGAGTGAGGCAGACATTCCTTGCCTCACTTGGGGAGATACTTGTGCAAGTTGTGTTGACAACTAGCAACGTGCACATAGGGACGTGTATTCCCTGAGTTCGCCCTGGGGAAGGGCACACATCTCGGCTGAGATGCAGGACGCGATTGAAAACTTGCAATCCGTCTACAAGCGCCAAAAGCGCGTGTTTACCGATGGGCCCTCGGACCTATCGGATGAGTCTTTTCATACTGATGGACGAGACCTTCAACGTCAGCCATCAGCTGGGATCGAGGTTCCCAGCTGTCATACGATGGTGGACACCCACGCCAGCGGACAAGGTAACTTGTCCGCTCCCCATTCTTCACGCGGTGGCTTAAGATAATCCCCACGTGAAAGCGTCGACCACCATGAGAATCTACCGGTGGTTCCGGTGGCGGTGGAAAGACAAGGTCCGGCTCAACCGCCGCGCCTGCAGGAGACTTTGGGTAGCCATGAGCGTTACCTGACCGAGTTGAGGGTGGACGTCGATCGCGAATACGATCGTCGGCACGACTTGCTGGCGACCATCCGACGTCTCCGTATCGATCGGTAGAAAGACCGAACGTATTTCGCGTTCTTTCAACTCGAGAGCGAACGCGAGAAGCATCGTTTGCGCGACGAGCTAGAGGCGGCTCGTCGGGAGACC